TTAGGTGGTACAGAGGAACACAGAGATTTGCAGTATGGACCACAACAGCACTGCCACTAAAACACATTCATAATTCACATTTAATTTTGCATAATAATAATAATAATAAAAGTCTGTTACTGGCACAGGATGCAGAATATATGGCATTATGTTCATATATGAGTAATTATGGCCTAAAACACTGTTTTTCTATCCAACTATGTTTGACTAGTTGTACAGATAATTATATAAACTCTGGTGTAACTGAAAAGTAATGATTTGGTTTAAAATGTGACGCTTTGACCCTGCAAATGATTAGCGGTAGAAAATAGATGGATAGTTAAAAAAAATGTCAGCTCACAAAAAACATTTATATGAGCAAGAAGATAACAGCCACATGGAAACTACTTCTTCTGCTGTGTTTGGACATTTATCTCAGTGTTTTGGGTCAAAAATTTAAAAAATAAAGTGATTAAAATCTGAATTATGCAAAAAAAAAAAAAATATAAAAACATGGAATAGACATGGAGATTTTTAAGGAATTCTCTTTTTCTCCAAAACAAATTTTAAGTCAATCCGAGTTTTTATTGACTTTTTCAATTTAATGTCAGAACTCTAAAAAACAAATGAACAAACAATCAACAACCGTGCGTCCCGTGTGGCAGCCATTTCCCCATTTTGGGACAAATAAGGGACTCAATTATTATTATTAATGTTTAGGGCCGAAATCCATCCTATTACCATTAACCAACGAGTGATGGTCTAAAACTGACATCAGTGACAAAAAAGCAGTCAACATGCAACGAAAAAAAAAGTCATGGTGATCCTTGTTGACACAACCTTCCCTTAGATATTCTTAATCTCGTTCAACCAAATAAAATAATTTTACCAAGCAAATACTACTCAGTTAAAGTACTGCCTGTATTTAATGTAATCCCCCATTAACATTTAACCAGGTGAAATACATTAGAGACAGAAAGAGTTGCCAGAATGTTCTGTTGTGATATGAGCACACACCTCCGACACAGAGATGTGATTTAGAGGTCCTGCAGCATCTGTACACCAGCCCTAATATTAATAATCATATCAATGATAAGAATTAGTTTAAAGTCCTAACAACCAGTAAAATGACGAGATTGTGTGATTACGGTGTGTAACAGCTGAACAACAGGGGGCGGCATCAGTTCATGCTGCCCTGCAGTCCATTTACGAGGCATCACTGTGGCAGTAGGATTTTGGTGCTTCTACCAGTTTAGAGCGACCTTCCTCAGTGATGAGCAGCGACTGCCAAATGGCCAACCTTTTGGCCAAGCTGCAACGGCCATGAGCCAACACTGTAAACTTGACATTTCACTCTGGAGTCCTTTTGATTTACAACAGAAATATAAATAAATGGATAATCACAGACCCTTTCTCCAGAAAAGTACATACACTTTCTTACGTTTTACAAATTAAATGAATTTGTTTTCATCATCTGACTGATTTGTACTACATAAAACAATATTTAAAATGAAATGCCTGCAACACATTTTTTTAATGATAAAGTTAATTAGTTCGCTCTTACTCATTGGTGAGTTAGCAAGAGTGTTTAAAAGTAACATCCACCACAGGCTCAGTCCTGAAGCCTGAAATTGGTGACGTTCACAAGAAAAGTCCGATGTCAGCTGTGGTTTATTTGCATGGTTGTGTTACAGACTTTTTAAAAAAACTTTTAGAAACTGTACCGACTTTTCTGGAAATAAAGTCTGCACATTAACAGATGATTGAAGACTCTGCAGCTTGGCTAAAAAGTAAGAACCGTGCTAAAGAAATCACAAAGCTTTGGAAGCATGCCTGTCGTGCCATGGTAACCCTGTGTTAAGGAGGCCCATTATAACACACTCTCAGCCACACACTCAGACACACACACACCCTCTTCCACACACAACACACTTGTAATGCTACCTTAATTTAATTTCTCGGCTTAAAATCAGCTTTTTAGAATACTTAAGTGACCATTCACACACACGTCCATAGACACACACACACCCTCTTCCACACACAACATACTTGTAATGCTACCTTAATTTAATTTCTAGGCTTAAAATCAGCTTTTTAGAATACTTAAGTGACCATTCACACACACGTCCATAGACACACACACACCTCCATACACACATTTTTTTCTCCTCTGGGAAAAATAAATAAATAAATAGATACAATCTGTAAAAGGTGCATACTGATAGAGAGAAAGAACCCCTCACCCCTTTAGATACACACAGTGTCTCACACGCATACACTCGTACACACATACAGTACATCTTGTTCTAAAATGCACACATACACACACACATACGCAAAAACTCTATCGCCCTGCTCTGATACTTAAAACCTCTTAAAATTCTCCTAAAGTAAATCCAAGCAAAAATACATTTATAAGACCAGCACCCCGATTGTGCAAACAAATCAAGGATAAATTAAAACCAAATACCATCATGAATAGAAAACAAAAATAGTCATGGCTAGCCAGTTTTGCACAATATTAACTATTAAATACATAGTGGGCGTGGTCTGTAAAGAGAGGGAGATTCTACGTGTTGTGTTTGTGTGGCAGCAAATCCACGCTGAGAGGAAGAGGAGGCTTTCAAAGAAGGAAGTGGAATTGATTAACAGATCCTGTGCAGATCAACAGCATGGAAAGTTGTTTTTTTTTGCTCAATCCCCTTTTTAAAAAATCTTCCAATGCCATCTCTGGACACTCATGTCCCCCCTGTGGACGGAGGAAGTAAAAATAACCCAGCAATGGAGGAGGAAGAGAAGGAGGAAGAGGGAGGGATGTCTGACGAACCAAAGAGGAGGGAGGAGTACTGAGGTATGGTGAGGTATGAGGCAGAAAAGAGGGCTTGTTGTCTCTGTCTTAGCTACCAAATGCTCCTCCAAATTCCTGATGGAGCAGAAAGTAGGCGTGGTCAAAGAAAAAAACTCGCCAGAAAACTCCAAAAAAATGTCTCTCGGTTGTTAAAAAAAAGATCTTGGTGAACTCCTGTTGGGCAGAGAGTGTTGTCTCTTCTCTTTCTGCCTGTGGCCCCCTTTTTGCAGCCCGGTTGTGGCTGTTGGTCCGTCCCTCAAATCCTTCCCCCTCCTGGTTGAGGGTGGCGGTGTCACTAATCCATTCCCAGGCTGGCAGGGCTGTGCTCCAAGGTTCCTTAGCTTTGGAAGAGGAGGGAGAAATTCAAAAAGAGGCTGTGTTTGCCCCTGGCTGACTCAATACAGCGCATCTTTATCATCTGTTAAAAAAAAGAAGGACTTTAACTTTAACCCTTGACCCCCTGCAACCTGGTCTGCTGTCCCCTACCAGGCTTCATGGCTGCCACAGACAAGGATAACACAACACCAACGTAGGCATAGTTAAAATGAAACCTTCAGACACACGTCGTAGACTGCTGGAAATCCTTAAAAGGACTTCCTGTCTGTGTTGCCGCCTCCCTGCCTTTCCTCTGTCTTTTCTCTACTCTTCTGCTCATCACACTTTGAGGACGTGATAAAACTGTGAGGCACTTTAGAGACACACTCAAACATGTGTGGTGAGGACGCTTCTACACGTATAAATAGAGAAAACTTTTGACCACACGCACACTCTTACAAGCATACAGTCAGATAATATAGAATATAGTGTGGTACACTTTACTCACAAACATTGTCACACATACAAACTCATAGAAACCAACAAAGTTGTGACCGGGTGTTCAAGGTTCACTGGCAGCCATCGTCCAGAGCAGTTCACATCAGGCAGAGAGGCAGACGGTGTGTGTGTGTGTGTGAGGAGGGTGTGCGTGTATGTGTGTGTGAGTGTGTTAAGGGCGGGGACAGACAGAGCCAGCCACGGCGCTGTGACCTAGCACTGACCGGTGTCAGTGTCTGATGATGTCAGAGGGGCCAATTGGCTGATTGAACCCACGGAGCAGACTCCTACAAACTTGTGACGCACTCCATGTCCTCGTCCTCCAGCAGCCCGCTGTTCCTCTGCCGTGCACCTCCCATTAAAGCTGAGCTTCTGTGTAGTGCCTCCTCCCTCCCTATAACCACTACCTCCTCCTGCTCCTCATTATCTTCCTCATCCTCCTCTTCCTCCTCATCTTGTACTTTCTCCTCGGCTAGCAGCTCTTGCCGTTCCTCCACAGAGGACGGTCCATGGATGGGGCCTCTTTAGATACACACAGTGTCTCACACGCATACACTCGTACACACATACAGTACATCTTGTTCTAAAATGCACACATACACACACACATACGCAAAAACTCTATCGCCCTGCTCTGATACTTAAAACCTCTTAAAATTCTCCTAAAGTAAATCCAAGCAAAAATACATTTATAAGACCAGCACCCCGATTGTGCAAACAAATCAAGGATAAATTAAAACCAAATACCATCATGAATAGAAAACAAAAATAGTCATGGCTAGCCAGTTTTGCACAATATTAACTATTAAATACATAGTGGGCGTGGTCTGTAAAGAGAGGGAGATTCTACGTGTTGTGTTTGTGTGGCAGCAAATCCACGCTGAGAGGAAGAGGAGGCTTTCAAAGAAGGAAGTGGAATTGATTAACAGATCCTGTGCAGATCAACAGCATGGAAAGTTGTTTTTTTTTGCTCAATCCCCTTTTTAAAAAATCTTCCAATGCCATCTCTGGACACTCATGTCCCCCCTGTGGACGGAGGAAGTAAAAATAACCCAGCAATGGAGGAGGAAGAGAAGGAGGAAGAGGGAGGGATGTCTGACGAACCAAAGAGGAGGGAGGAGTACTGAGGTATGGTGAGGTATGAGGCAGAAAAGAGGGCTTGTTGTCTCTGTCTTAGCTACCAAATGCTCCTCCAAATTCCTGATGGAGCAGAAAGTAGGCGTGGTCAAAGAAAAAAACTCGCCAGAAAACTCCAAAAAAATGTCTCTCGGTTGTTAAAAAAAAGATCTTGGTGAACTCCTGTTGGGCAGAGAGTGTTGTCTCTTCTCTTTCTGCCTGTGGCCCCCTTTTTGCAGCCCGGTTGTGGCTGTTGGTCCGTCCCTCAAATCCTTCCCCCTCCTGGTTGAGGGTGGCGGTGTCACTAATCCATTCCCAGGCTGGCAGGGCTGTGCTCCAAGGTTCCTTAGCTTTGGAAGAGGAGGGAGAAATTCAAAAAGAGGCTGTGTTTGCCCCTGGCTGACTCAATACAGCGCATCTTTATCATCTGTTAAAAAAAAGAAGGACTTTAACTTTAACCCTTGACCCCCTGCAACCTGGTCTGCTGTCCCCTACCAGGCTTCATGGCTGCCACAGACAAGGATAACACAACACCAACGTAGGCATAGTTAAAATGAAACCTTCAGACACACGTCGTAGACTGCTGGAAATCCTTAAAAGGACTTCCTGTCTGTGTTGCCGCCTCCCTGCCTTTCCTCTGTCTTTTCTCTACTCTTCTGCTCATCACACTTTGAGGACGTGATAAAACTGTGAGGCACTTTAGAGACACACTCAAACATGTGTGGTGAGGACGCTTCTACACGTATAAATAGAGAAAACTTTTGACCACACGCACACTCTTACAAGCATACAGTCAGATAATATAGAATATAGTGTGGTACACTTTACTCACAAACATTGTCACACATACAAACTCATAGAAACCAACAAAGTTGTGACCGGGTGTTCAAGGTTCACTGGCAGCCATCGTCCAGAGCAGTTCACATCAGGCAGAGAGGCAGACGGTGTGTGTGTGTGTGTGAGGAGGGTGTGCGTGTATGTGTGTGTGAGTGTGTTAAGGGCGGGGACAGACAGAGCCAGCCACGGCGCTGTGACCTAGCACTGACCGGTGTCAGTGTCTGATGATGTCAGAGGGGCCAATTGGCTGATTGAACCCACGGAGCAGACTCCTACAAACTTGTGACGCACTCCATGTCCTCGTCCTCCAGCAGCCCGCTGTTCCTCTGCCGTGCACCTCCCATTAAAGCTGAGCTTCTGTGTAGTGCCTCCTCCCTCCCTATAACCACTACCTCCTCCTGCTCCTCATTATCTTCCTCATCCTCCTCTTCCTCCTCATCTTGTACTTTCTCCTCGGCTAGCAGCTCTTGCCGTTCCTCCACAGAGGACGGTCCATGGATGGAGCTTCTGCTTCCTCCCGCCTCTCCCATGTCCTCGCTGGGATTAGAGCTGAGGACACGGTCCCTGTGCATTGATGCTGCTGCTGCTGCTGTGTGGAAGGTGGGGTTGCCATTTGGGCTGTTCTGTGAGTTTGAGGAGGTGCTAGACACGGAGTTCTTGGTGGTGCCGTTGCCGTTGAGAATGTTGTTGGCAGCTTGCTCCATCTCCTCGATGGTCATGTCACAGGCATCGGCTAGCTCTGCCTTGGTTGCCTCGATGAATGACGGGTCCTGAGCAAACTGACCCAAACCCTCTGATATTAGCACCTTGAAGGAGACGTTACAAGGACCAGGAATGGAAACAGGGAGGGGGAAATGTGACAAAAATGGAAGAGGGGAGTGGAGGAGAAAAGATTAAACACGGTTGAAAAAACATCTGAGAACATTGTAGCAAGTCTTTGTTCCCGAGGTAATCCATACCCTTCAAATTCTTTGTTTTTCCACAAATAACCACTGAATTGTCCTGTTCCACCTGCATTCACACAGAAACTTACCGCCTCCACTAGACTTCCCGCACTGCCATGCGACAGCGAGCTGGAGTCTTTCCCCAGTAGCGAGGGCACCGTTAGCGACACCGGCCGTGGTCTCTGATTGGACGCTGAGCCACTGGGGATGGGACTATGCCCTCGACTGCTCCCATTATTGTCACTGTACCTATGGTTGTCATAAAAAGTTAAGCCCCCACTATGGTAATTATAATATATTATATTATGTATATTACATTATATTTCAAAAGTACGTGGTCTCACCAGGGCCCACAGTTGACAGAGGGCAGGCTGGTATTGAGCTTTTCATGGGAGTTTGTGCCCTCTAGCCTCAAAGAGGGCACTCGCTGGTAGGAGGCATCACTGCTATGGGCTAAGACACAAAAAGGAAAACCTTTATTTATACCAGTATAACAGCACATGTTGAAACATGACAAAACTCAATATGACCTTGTTCACTCAAATTAAACGTTTCCCTCGGATCATCATGCGTCACATTTGCTGGTAACTGAACACTTTTTTGACCTGGTTTTGTGACTGTGACACAAGTTTACCTGTGGGACTGGCTGGAGGCGTAGAGCACAGCCGGCTGAAGAGCGTTGGTGAGTGACTCCTCCTTAATAGAGGGCTCAAACCAGCCACTGCCAGAGCCTGAGAGAGACCAAAAGAAAAAAAAATACATCATATCTACAATATTTTCATAGTTGCAGTGTCTGGCTTTTTTTTATATTTGGGATTTTAAAAAAATCATGGGAATAGCAAGGGTTTCGCAAAAGGATATGTGCCCTAAAAATAGTTTCGGGGCTAAATGGATGTATAATAAAGTAAAAGTCACTAAATGGCAGCATTGCAGCTTATTTATTTAAACTATTTTAATAAGCAGGGGATTGTATGCAGAATGCTGCAGCAACTCATTCAGCGGTTTGTACAGATAAATAAATAAATATTACCAGGCCTATGTTGGTTGATATCAGAATTGGATATCAAGTCTTTGGACAATATATAAAAAAACCCTGTGCAATCAAAATGCTTAAGCAAAACATTTTTTTAAGCCTTTAATCCTGGTGTTGTTTACCTGATGATGTACAAGGTGTAAGGGCACAGCTGTCTTCTGGGAGACGTCTGGCCTGGACTGTCTCCTGAGACACTCCAGGTGGAAGGATGACCTTCTCCCTAACCATTGCAGTGCAGATAAAAATATGCAAATAGTTGCAAAAGTAGACTCTTTTGGAAAGCAATTGAGAATTGTTTGTGTTTGTGCAATTACCCAGAGAAGTAGGACAGAAGAAGACTCTCCTGGGAGACTGCCAACTTCCTCCTCCTCTTCTGTCCTCTACATCTCCTGCGTCCTCCATGGGAGTCAACTGCTTACATGTTTCATCCTGATACACCAGCCTAGTATGAACACACAGGGACATAAAGAGCGGTGTTATTAGCAGCAAACTGTAAGAACCTGGACGTGCTAAATATTTTTCTTTGTTTTCGTCGACAGTACATGTCAGAAGACAGCGAATGGTCGTCTTCGTGGTACTCCCTGTCATCGAAATAGCTCTCATCATACGTCTCCTCCATCGACTCCTCGCCTCGTCTTATGATTGGCAGGCGACTGTCGCTTGAGTCCGAGCTACAAACGGACCGGGCAAACGAGCAAAAGCAAACAAACACACAAACAGAATGAACGTCGACACAGACCACAGGGAGAACAACAGGTACGAGACCCGTATGCAGACGCACGACAAACATAACATAAAGACACAGACAAAAAAATAAACAGCTGATTAGCAAAAAATGAAAATAAAAATAATGTAAACTCTGAAGGGAGAAACTGAGAAACCAGGTGAGGCTTACATACTGCATGACTGAGGAAAAAGATCAAAAGAAAAAGGAGGAAGAGCTGTTTCTTATAAAAGCGAAATGGTAAAAAGCGTTAGACAACAGCTGGAGTATGACACGCCATTAGCGTGATGGAGGAGCAGACATCTTTGAAAACAAAGATTTGGACAGGCAGAGTAATGACATCACAGTTGCTTAACTTTTTGCTAAAGTATCAGTTTAAGGTAACTGGTAACTTTTTGCCTTTTCTGTCTTTACTTAAAAAAGAAAACCATGCAAGAACTTCATAAAAACCACGTCGAAATCCTTCTGAATTTTAAGTTTACAGTGTATTCAACAGCATTGCTGTGTCAGGACACCAACTACAGGAACAGGGCATCCATACTGTATTTATAGCACCCCCTGCTGTGGAGGGAGAAGGATAGTACATTTACAAACACATGAAATTCTTGCATGTCTGACCTTTAATAAAAATACTGGATTTGTTATGTTTTTGTATTCAAAAGATGTCACGTCATCACCTCTTTCAAGATCTATTTCATACTCCAAACTTCGGCTCGGAGACATTCTGACTTCTTTTTTATTTCTGACCAGATCAGCAGTCATAGCATGTCACCACTTCGATAAACAATCTGTAATTATTTACCTTTTATATTAAATCATCTTTAACACTCTTCATCTATTAAATTATATTATTTAAATAAAAATTCTGGTTAATGTTTGATTTTCTTTAACATAAAATAAAACCTGGTGATGAAAAAAAAGTTACAAGAAGTCAAAATGTCTCTTTAATCCGCTGGTATGTCAGGGCTCTGCAGCAAACTCTGGGTTAGAACGGCATAAAAAACAAAGAGAGTATTTTCACATTATATTTTTTTTCTACATGGTTGCTATACAAGTTTTTATACAAGCTTCCTAACTGACTGATATTGGAAATTGTCCAAAACAAGTTCCAGTAAAACTAAAAATTAAACATAAACATAAACTTAAAACACATATGACAGTGCTGTGAATTTCTATTACACTCATTTATAATTTGAGGCTTCTAAAAGGAGAAGTGACTATAGGGTATTTATATTAAATACAAAAAAAGTAAAATTGTATTAAAAATTATTTTCAGCATAATTACATTGTTTCTAACCCAGAACTGCACAAGGAAGCCAGAAAGAGTTTGGTCTTTTTGCCCCAACCACACTTTCTAAGGCTTCGGTTGCAGATTTTTCAATGGCAGCCTGTTATCTTGATGTTGCTATGGCGACTTAAGCATTTTATGCATAGCATTGTGTAAATAATCAAAGCATTTGTATAGCATTAGCACCTGTTTACACTCAATTAGGGGTCTAACACAGGCCACACCCACACACACACACTACTCTCTCTCTCTGTCCCCTGGAAACATACCGCATGAGGTTGTCATAAAAACACGTCCTGCTCGCCACCAGAAATAAAAGATAGGAAAAGAGAAGGAGGGAAAAGAATGTGAAGGAAACAGGAAAATAAAATGACACCCTCCATACTAGAATGTTATTTTGTTAAGTATGTTAATAAACACAAGGTGTGCAGGAAGTATGAGGATGATATATATATGTTAATATACTCAGGTCAAGGGCACACAAATGACTCCTCTCATGTGAAGGAAAGATGTTGAAGATTTGCTGGGCCACAGCTGCTTGTGCTCTCTTACCTCTTTGGAGGAAAGCACCATGCAGATCTTGGCAGCAGGATGGGGGTGAGCGGTTGCCCCGTGTGTCCGTCAACAGTGCTGATTGAAGGACTCGGGAATTGACTACTGACGCCCTGGGTCGTGACCCCGACCATGCCCGTGTTGTTGGCATTGTTAATGTTGGCATTGGAGCCCGATGAGGAATAAGAGGAAGGGGTGAAGGTGGTGGAGTCCATGAGCTTCTCATGGGACGGGCTTTCACCTTCACAGGGTGAGCCCTTTTGACTGATGTGCAAGGGACGCTGGGTAGTGAAAGATTGTGGGAAGGACCCGCGGCCATCAGTCTGGTTGTAGTAGTTGACATGGTTGCCGAACAACCCGCCAGAACGCTGTGGAAGAAGACGGGAGGGGAAAAAAGGGATTAATTAAAAAGTGTGGAAACTGGTTGGAGCTAAAAGACAGAAGCTAAAAACATATTCTATTAAAGAGTCAAACGGCCACACTGCAACAAGCTGGAGTTAGCCATGATGAAAATGTGAGGATTTTTTTTTTTGTCAGTGTAAAAGCATCTGAAATGTGTTTCTGTTAAAAAACAATTCTTGTTACAAAACATTAACAAAATCAGAACAAATCAGAAATGAACAGTGGAGTATTCAGGAATTTGGGAATAAATAATGAAAAACCGTCTTGTTTTTACAGCTCTGAACACAACTCTCTACTCTGTTTCCATCAGGGATTAAAACAAACAAAAAAAGGATTACATTTTTGATTTTTTTTTCCTACACTGATAATAAACAGACACATATATGAGAGGAGCACAGACTTCAGCATCACCTCTGTTTACAGCTGCCGCTCCTCATAAAAATATAATGTAAACTTTTTATTGTAACTGGTCTCATATAAAATCTGGATCATTACTATAATAAAATGAACTGTAATATAGTAGTATATATTATTGTTATTATGCTGCATTATAATGTAGCAATGATGATGAAATGGAAGGCAAGTATCAAGCGTACCTCACTTGAGCAGGACTAGAGGAATCACCTTCAAAAAAACGACCTTTCTAATTTTGGAATACTTTCTTAACGTTAATCCATATAACAGCATTTCTAGTATTATCTTTGATCGCAAAGCCATGTGGTGAAGAAACACAATATTTCATAATGTATGAAAGCGTCTACATGTATGGAGCCGTCGTGGGGCGTCAAGCAGGGCGATGGTCATCTTTCTCTCTCTTTCTATGGAGAGTGAGTGAGGGTGTGTGTATCCAACCTTTACCCTGAAGATATCATCCTCAGACGCAGCCGACATCGGCTCCTTCAGGCCTTTGTCCATCTCCTCCTCCACATTCAGATCTCCAGAGATGGCCCTCCGAATCTCTGGACCAATATCATGCAACGTCCGCAGGCCCGCCTGTGGAGGGAACCAATCACAACAGAGTAATTTTCTTACAATATTCCAGAGATCAATGCATTCATTTGTGTTCACTCCTATGCTGCATTTGTGCTATAATTTTCAACATGTTCTCCTTTTCTCCTGACAGTCTCTCATAAAATTCTGTATGATTTTAATACCTGCAGAGAGAGGGCAGTTTTTGGAGGCACCTTGGCCACTAGACCTTGTTCTTTCCTTTTCTTAAACTTGCGGAAATATTCCTGGATGAGGAAGGTGGCGTAGAACTTCCCAACTGTGACTTCATCATCTGTGTGGAATAGACCAAAACAAAGAAGGAAAAACAACCTTTTATTGTTACATGTTTCCACTGGCATATTTGAGACTACTGTATAAATGATTACACATACCGCCAGCAGGGGGCACTACTTGATCTAAGAGTTTCATGCTGGTTCTCTTCCATATCTTCTTCACTATGGACCTTAGTTCCTCATTGGCCTGCTCCAGGTTACCTGTAAACAAATAAAATAAAATAAAAATGAAGGCTAGTTTTGATTTAGTCAACAGAACTGTTTTGATTTTAAAAGTTGACAAAATATTCTAATTATTTTATTCAACTAAACTGGAATTAATTTTAGCCTTAATCAGCCCCTACTGGCCAAAAGTGGTTTCTGCATGGTTTGGTTGCTTTCAGAAAAAACACCTAAAGTAGGCGTCCATCTTTGATTTGATTTAAAATCTTTCTTACCTTCTGTCTTAATCCTGAGTGCAGTTCTGACCAGGGCAAACAGTGTGGCATTGAACATCACTGTTCCATCACTGTTCAGAGGCATGTTCATTGACACGAGCCGCTAAAGTTAAAAGAACAAAAATAAAATGTAAGATAGGTGATTAGTCTGTTATTTCCATAGCATATATCATATACAAGTATGCTTCAACATCAACTGTTAAGTGCAATAATTATTTTAAACACTTTATTAATTAATTTAAATTAAATATAGCATATACTGTATTCTGCACTAATCATCAAATATTAACATCAAGTGAAATTTGATAAAAAAATATTTTCATAGATTTAAAAAAACAAAACAGATATAGAGTGAATGTCACCACAACCTGCTGTATGTTGACCACCCAGGTGCTGCCATTTCACATGACATCTGGGCCTCATAAAGTGTCATATGTGCCCAATATGGGTTGTATCTGCACTGCAAACTTTTAAAAAGCCCAGCTTGATTACAGTCAAAATACTTGAATACTCCTCAACAAATATGTTTTTTAGATTTTTCTGACAGCTAAGGAATAACAAACACTAAAGTCTGGTGCCGGGGTGGATCTATCTGTGTACAGTTACCTTGCATGCCACCCTGTGGGGGCAAAGCTTTCCAAAACCCAGGGGAGGCTGGATTCTCCGCAGCAGAGTCACCACATCCAGATGCTTTATCCTCCCCCTGTGTATGAGGTGAATGTCACATTTAAGAGACTATCTGCCCTGACAGATGATACCAGTATAATAATGCTGATGACATCAGTCAATGTCACTCAACGTACTTAGCTTCTGGGTCGTACTCGGCCCAGATCCTCTTGAACTCATCCAGATGATGCGGTCCCAGGATCGACCAGTCACGCGTCAGGTAATCAAAGTTGTCCATGATGACAGCCACAAACAGGTTGATGATCTGGTATTCAGCATGTGACAGTCAGCACACAGAATAACAGTGCTAATCACAGAAAAGTTGCACGGAAATGCAATAAAAAGTTAAAGTCTGTAATTTGGTAAATCACTCAAACCTTTAATTCTGAGGCAAATGGACAAAGAAAAGACCAACTGTCCTTTATGTTATACATCATTCATTTAAAAACCTAGTTGCTTGTAATTTTTTTTTTTGCCAAATCAAAAGTCTGTCTGCTTGTAAATTTTTTATTTTTTTTTTGCCAAATCAAAAGTCTGTGATCACTGTGGTTTAGATCAAAATAGGAGAGGGTCTTCAGACTGGCAGACCACTTTCTAACCATGTTCTGTCTGAGCTAACAGTAAAAACTCCCTAAATACCCAGTATCGATCCTGTTTGTTTGGGACAATAATTTCTACATTAGTTTACACTATTTGTGAAGGTCTAAATAAATTACCAAAAAACAAATATTTTATTGCATTTTCATGGATTATACCACCTTTTGTGGCGACAGTCACATTAGTAAAGTACCGTCCTTAAAAAAACACAACTATAAGTCACTGCACCCACCAGAAAGGCACAGAGCATGTAGAAGCTGACAAAGTAAATGATGGCAAACTGGCTGCCGCAGTCCTCCGTGGATGCGCTGTTCTCACTGGTCGCGCCCTTCTCACACGGTCGATTGTTCGAGCACGCCAGCATGATCTCCTGCCATGCTTCACCTGTTGCACATCTGACCAACAGACGCGCATATAGGCACGTACACACACACAAACACAAAACACCGCGTATGTGGGCGCAAATATGCATGCATACAATTATGTGGATATAGATACACCAGTAGAGAGAGACACAAACACGTGCATAGATTAGCACATGTGGACACCAGCATGTGCGTTTATGCATAAACAGTACAGACAAAGTACAGACAGAGAAAATGTGCAGATAAGCATCGAAGCAAAGAAGACACATGCACACAAAAAGGTAGGGGAGAGACAAAAGACAACAGCGTTAGAAACTGTCGACAGTACAAAACGATAAACACATGTCTAACATCTACTTAATTAAATAATAATATTCTGTGTCTTCCCCTTTTATACTACATACACCTATAACTATATAGTGTGTATTTGGAGACAAAACCACGAACTACATTGAGTCAGCAAATGTTGTTGTCACAGTAAGAACATTAAGAAAAAAACGAGTACAGTCAGTTTTATTTTATGTTATTAACAGACGACTATTTTGAGCCATAAAGACCACAAATCCTTCTGTATGAACAAGAAGTCTTCAAACTGGTGCTGTCGCCACAATAACCATATATTAATAAAACTAAAGATAAAGAAAATACATTATAACAACCAACTACTTTTACACTTTTACACCGATAGCCCATTTTAACTGAAAACGCTGTCTTCTATGTACACAAGTATATGAATGGCTATTATGCTAGCATTGGTGAAACCCTACTTTTTAAAAGTAATTTTAGAGAGCAATTTCAACTGAAAACGCTGTCTTCTATGTACACAAGTATATAAATGGCTATTATGCTAGCATTGGTAAAACCCTAGTTTTTTAAAAAACAATTTTAGAGACCAGAATGACCAGAGAGAAGCAGAACATAAAAATGGCGGACAGCGGTCGTTACCTGAAGAGCAGCAGCACCGCCTGAGGGAAGGTCTGGAAATTGTTGTTCCTGTTGATCTGCGTGTGGTCCTGCAGCGCTATCTTACCAAACATCTGCACAGGAGGGGGAGCAAGCAGTGACAGCACACGGCATATAACGTCAGGCTTTGATATGGGGAAGTCAATCAGAATTAGGGGGCCAGCTGTTCCGGGCAAACCACATTAAAGTGTCTCCCTTTCATCATCAGTGACATAAACTATACGACAACGTGTAGGAGGTGCGGGGGGAGAAGGGTGAGGATGAAGAGCAACACTCTGACTAAATAGAAACTCTACGTGAAATGAGGCTCCAGCAGGACAGAAACAGGACGCAGGTTTGCTAAAAAAAAAAAAAAAAGAAATAAAAAACATTTACACGAGACAACTACTTACCTGCATGCCGATGACAGCGTATATGAAGAATAGCATCACTATAAGTAGAGCTACATATGGTAGAGCCTAAGGGAGAGAGAGACACATCAGTGACCATTCTTCAAAGTGGGACCATGCACCAAGGCTGGAGTTCAATCACTTTCATTCAAATCTTGCACATGCAGTTGAACCTACAGTAGGTTTTCTTAAGATAAACAAACCAGAAACGTGGATAATCTGGATAGTTAGGTAGAGCAATGAAAGTGAACTGATCTGCAGTCCCGTGTTGGCACAACACCAAAAACAGTCCAGCACAAATCATCCGAGTTAGGAGGGGAAAGCCTCAGTAAAAAAAAGAAACTGCTCTCTGTCTTTAGTCGGGAGGTATCTCCTGACTCATTAGGTATGAACGGAACTGTGAAGAAACCGAGCTCCGGGATAAGATACCCCAGTGGCTGGGAAATCAGGGCCAAATGAGAGTTGAGCGGAAAGGTAAACATTTGACTCCCGGATGATGTTTCCCTCGGATGAGGATTTATATGAATAAATACGCTTGAAAAGACGTTTAACATTTGATGAGTCGACGCTGGCCCTACTGTTGTTTTTCAAACAAAACTCTCAATGTTAAGATTTACAGTGTGTATTTATGTAGACTTAATGGCCACTTCATTAGGTACAGCTTTTAAACTGCTGGTTAATGCAAACATCTTTTGGCAGATCTAGGGACTTCCGATAATATTGGCCGACCGATATTAGCATAATTATATAATATCTGTATATTGAAAACCCGATAACGCAATGCCTGGGTTTTTTCGCCAAATGATGTGTTCCCTAAAATAGTTTTGGGGATAAATGGCTGTATAGTAAAGATAAAGTCACTAGATAGCAGCATTGCAGCTCATTTTAATTAATGTAAAACAACGCAGAGAACATTTGAATTTGTTTCTTTATGATCCGGGGGTTGAAAATTAAACGGTTCTAAAGATGTGCCTAATAAAGTGGCCATTCAGTGTTCGCTTTGTATCCGCAGTGTTTAAAAATGAATCTGCTGAACTACTGTATGATGTGGCCCATCTTATCTAACACAAGAGAGAGAACAGATTATTTTCGTGGCTCCATAACTCTCTATCAAATGATTTCATTTTTGGTGGAGTGCTTCTTTATACTTATCTACTTATCTTTACCCGCCTACAGGGTATGGTGAGCTCTCAGAGGTTAGTCATAGGAGTAAGAAAGGCAGTAGAAGAATGTATGAGGAAAGTTGAGGAGAGAGGAAAGAGCAGATATAAAGTTGTGGGTGAGTTTTTTTTTTTCACTTTACGTCCCTAACCGTCCCTCCCTGAATCTGCAGTAAAACTCATAAACCACCTCTCCGTTACCTCACACCTTTCCTCCTTCTTCCACTCCAGCGGCTCAACCGACAACACAGAGTAGTGTGTCTGTTATTATGGACTTTTAAAAAAAGAAAGAAATGGAGGTGGAGAGAAGGAGGGAGCGAGGTGAGGAAAGGAAAGGCGGCTTGTGAGACGTAACCAGGCTGGATTTACACAAGAACAAAGATGTTTCAGTTCAGATTTGAAATCCCAGGATTCATGTTGAGTTTAAAATGAGGACATTGTGGTTAATTGTGCATGTAATCACCTTAATGAATGTGTGCAATGTTAACACCAGCTACTGTTTTTTTTCCTAAGAGTCACTTTGCTATGTTTGGATCATATAGTCCATTAAAAGTGTCTGTGTCAATGGCATCTAAAGACAGGCACCGTTTTAGGGGTGACCGGTATTTTTGTCCTGTGCAAACCCAACCCCCCTATTCTAGCATGTTGTGTCCGGTTCTCCCTCACTTGGAAGGATTTGATGAAGGTCCACAGCAGGGTCCGAATCCCTTCCCCGCGAGACAGCAGCTTCACCAGCCTCATCACGCGGAACAGCCGGAAGAAGGTGATGGAGATCCTGGCGTTCTCTTCAGAGTTCTGCAGTCCCTTTTGGTGGGGTTTGGTGTTTTTTGTGGAAAAAAACACAGGACGCATGGGGGACACATGCAGAAGGGTAAGGGAGGAAAAACCCAGACACACACACGCGTTCACACACACACGTCCGTACAAGCATACAGACATGCATTAGGTACACACAGCCATAGGTGGAAATGCATACAAACATGTGTATGCACATGTCCACCCACACACACACACACACATACACACACACAAACACACTCAGTTAATTCATGAAAATCTGCGTCCTACAAAATCCCATCAAAATCAACTGACACAAGAGATTTGGGAGAGAATCGGGCAATCATGCTGATTTTCTTTTTTACTCTTGTCGCTTCAGGGAAAAACACTTAACAGCAAAGAGATCAACTTCCTGAATAAAACTGCTCCTGCCTCTTAACTGACACTCAGTTAACACGAAAACACACTCTTATGGCCTAGAGATGATATTAAAATCAAGTGTAGCACCACCTTCAGGAGAGATGCGGGAGCTACAGGCTCAACACTATCCTAAACTACTGAATACTTCATCTTTTTTAGCTAAAGTTTTAATGTCGTTTTGCACCAGTGTGGTCTACAGTACTAGTCCAGACTGGGTCGCGGACATTTCTATCAATATAAGTAATGGCATTGTATAAATCACTGGTAATTCAGAAAGAAAGAGTCCAAAAAAAAGTCCATCCTAGAGGCAGAACACTGTTTCCATAAATCATCCAGACAGGCTAATTGCCAGACACAAAGAAACTTGTCACATGGAGGAAAAGTCCAGAGATGACATTCAGGTGGAAAAAGATATTTCCATTCAATGGAGTCACTGCCAAGTACATTTTAAAAAAAATGGTAAAAAATATCTTTATCTGTTTCTCCTCTTCATGTCAACCTTGAAAAAAACTCTTGCACCGCAGCAACATTTATACTTGAATCCAGCCTAACTCTTTAATGTACTGTAGTTTTGTAACTATCCATTGTCCCAGTAGTCATCCACTGGAAATAATACCACAATGAAATATTCAGCCCTCTAGCTGAGTGCTATTCTAATGCAGATTTATTTATTTATGCTGTAGCTCATTCCCTGGGACATAAAAGACAAGAAAACAAAGGCAACATCTGGAGAGATGTGAACCAAGATGGGCTCACACACCAGAAAAGAAGCAAAAAGAAAGAAAAAATTAAGGTGTAAGTCTAAAGAAGTATATTGGCATTTAATTAATTAATTCAACTAAAATAAAATAATAAGGTATTACCAGTAGTACTAGTACTATCATTACAGCCCTTAGAATCTGTTTTACTGCAAAAATAACCTGTGTACTGAACATTAATTAACGTCTGATCTCAAGAACAGATCTGCCGTCCGTGTTTTTCCAAGAAGCCACAAAAACTTTAGTACTATTCCCACAGTGATTAGACAATGTGCTCCCAAAACAGAACCAGTCATTCTCTTCACGTTGCTGCAGCTTGGGATAACAGATATCATATGTTACTTTTCAACAGACTATTCTTCTTATTTAAACTGTAAAAACATCCGAGCCTGAAAAATATATCCAAAAATGTATCTGGCATTATAATTTTGAAATAAGCTGGTTAGTTCGAAAGCTTAAAGTTACATATCCTTTTCAATCTTCTCTAAATTTGTTGACAAGTAACCAAAGACATGAGCTGTCCCAGAATCTACAGACAGACGTGAAGAAAACACGACTTCCGGTTCACAGGAGAGTCAATAATAAGAAAAATAAATCTGTGCTGTAAGTAATATCACAACTGGACCACAGTGGGCGCCACTGCACCACTGATAGAGTGAGGGCAGTGGTGGAGAAAGGTACAGTGACAGTAAGTGAGAGAACGGAGAGAGAGAGAGAGAGAGAGAGAGAGAGAGAGAGAGAGAGAGAAGTACATCCACAGAAAACAGTCTGCTTCACAGACAGATAGAGAGACAGACTGATAAAAAGGTAGAGAGATAAAAAAAAGAAGGCAGGCAAGTGGAGAAGTGTGGAGGAGAGAGAAGAGCGTGGTAGCGTGACCATGATGGCTTGCACCGATGATAAAGCATCAAAGATTTCACACCCATAAAAGAAAAGGGCAGCAAATCACAGGCCACGGACAGGTGGGGGCAGTGTGGCAACAACATAGCCACTCAAGAACAAGTCACAAGACTCCATTTATACTTAACCGACAACGACCTTCACACACAAACATATATATTATACACATATATTAACATGTACAAAGTACAAATAAAACCCCAGCGATGTGCTGACACGACTCTGAACATGCTGCAGATGATGAGAGCAGGTGCGACAGAGGACAGAAGTGGACGGAGGACAGAAGTGGACAGGACGAGTCAAGAAGCCAAAAGTTTTGGATCATACCATGGACGCCGTAGCAGGAGGAGATATGGAGGGATGGAGGGATGGAGGGATGGTAGAGGAGGTGGGGAGGCGGGCGAGGTTACCGTCGGAGCGTACCATTGGCCTTACCACAGGGGGGTGAGAGGAGGAGGAGGACGAAGAAGAGGAGGAGGAGGAGGAGGACGAAGACGAATCAGCTGGCTTTAAGGAAAGGGCAACAAAGATCAGCACCAGAACAGCGCCTTCCGGTGTGTGTGTGAGTCTGAGTGTATGGTGTGTGTGTGTGTGTTATGAGGTTTAACACTTCACTAGACTAGAAACTTTTCCAGAATGTCAATGTGAAAAGCTGTAATTTCAAACTGTGTTTCTAAAGGTGTGGTTTACGGGGCTAAAAGCGGGACGCGGAGAAATAAATATGGCTACAACCAGCCAGAATTTTCAAATTTTTTAAAAACGTTATGCTTATGCTAAAAAAATATGTGAGGGGAGGGAGATTGCAACTGAAAAAACAAGGAAATAATATTTTTTTAAAAATATGAAAAATTATAAGAAATACAAAAAGTTGGTATTCCTGTTTTAAAATAAAGAATACAGCAGTTTTGCGCTGCGCCCCCTAATGGGGTGGGGAGTGCCGCTCACTTTGGGGACCACTGCCCTACAGTTTATATTTTTAATACACTCTTCACTTTTGGTCTTATCCAATGATCTCCAAGTCTTTGCTAATGATTCAGGGCTGATATGCCTAATGATGCCTCATGTCTCATGTGATCCTGTAAATGTGTGTATATGGTGGTAGATATAAAGGCGCCGCTGTAGCTATCTGTTATTCTTCCTGCCAACTGAAAATACAGCATGGTAACAATTAATATGATTTGAGCCTGACTGAGGCTGCAGACAAGACGAGGCATTAAAGGAAAAATCTGTTTTTAACAAACCAGTGTTGTTTGGATCCATGAATGATCCAATGTCAGTATAACTGTACTAAAAGACCATCTTTTTGGAAATGCAGTTAACTGTTGGAAGGGGAAAATATAGCAATAGCATATTGCTGTGATTTTTTTTCTTTTTTCACATTTTGCTCAAAATATCATTACAAGTGCACTGCAACATAGATCTGTTTCCAATCTTAGAAATCATAGGAAACATCACCCCAGGTAGGGTGTCTGCTTGTATAAACACCAAGACTACACTGAACATGGACACTAGTGTGTCATAAGAGAGTGGTTCATGTTACATTGTATTTGTAACATTTCGTGAAGCAAAACAGCTGAGCTTAACCCCAAACAACAGCTCTTTGTGTTAAAAACAGTCATATTTCTCACTTTAGAGTCAAAATCTGCTTTAACACAAGTCCATTTTTTGACCTGACATTGAACAAGATCCAAAGACAAATCTGAACCTTTCAGCAACGTTGTTGTGGTTGTACTTATGAACGTCCACAACAGCAGGACACAGAGACCACAACAGAGACCACAGTCCATAGACGTGGACTAAAGATCAAGTGATTTTTTTCTTCTTTTTTTTTTTTTAGGAATCTGATCTCACACATATTTAAAGTTTGCGGGATCAGTAACAAGTAACAAGTAACTGTTACTGCAACGTTAAAGCCTGCTGGGAGATAGATCGACTTGAGGTTCAATCTATGACTGAGCTGAAGTAGTGACCCTGTTTGAATATTTACCATACTATTCATGCAGCATGGTTTCTAATCCTCTAATGAAATTAAGGATGACAAAGAAAAAAAAAAACAAACATTGAGGAAAAGAGCAAAAAACATAAACATAAAAAATAGTAGATGAAAAGAAAGTTTGTGATAAGTAAAAAAAAAGTGGACAAAAAAAAGCTGGACTCAGGGAGAAGATGGACAAAAAGAAAAATTTGGACATTTAAAGGGATTCTAACAGGGCCATACATGTACTGAACCTTTAGGGTCACACACTTCAAACATATATACAGAGAAACCTAGTAGTAGCTGTATTTTCTATTGATGTTGAATGGACAGCGTTAAGAGACTATTTTCTCTCTAAAGTCCAAAAGAGTCGGACCAATTTTAAGTTGAGCTAAAAGGGCAGCTACACAGAAAATTGGTCTCAGGGGTTTGGACTGTTTTATGGTGCGGAAAGTTCTAAGAGAAGTAAGTACCGGAAGTAAACAAAAGAGTACGGCATAAAGGAAACTGAGATATGCAGAGAAGGAAGGTACATCAGGAATATAAGAGAATATATCTTTGTGTATGTACGATTGTGTGTGTGTGTAGCTTCACGTTCAACATAATTAACTTTTCAAATCCATTGTTTTAAGTAAACAGTTTTCCGACATAACAAATATATATATATATTTTCAAGCAAAAGCGTCGTCATTTCAATGGGTAACATCGGCCTTTTTTCTGGTTTCCTTTGTTTTGTTGTAAAGGTAACATTGTTTTTATATTTGGTTCCATTCATATTGGCAACCATTTAATGTAAAATGATGAATTGATTTTGGGCAACAAAAGCCTGAGGACCAATGTTACCCAGCTTGCACTTCAGGTGAGCAAGCAGCACCGCAAACCAGGAAGGAGAAGACAGAGATAAAGATGAACATCCATAACAGAAGGTTTCAGAAGAAACGGAAAACAAAGCTAAGGAGAGCAAGAAGGAGAAGAGGGGGAGGAGAAGGAGGAGTAGTGGAGGCATTCCGAAGATTGGGGGAAGAAGACGACAGGAGCAGATCATACTGGCATCGTCTGCAAGACATTGCTCAGAGCAAACTGCTAACAATCTAGCCAAACTAGCTCTACTCAAACCAGAACCAAAACAAAAATAAAAGAAACCATTCCAGGTTTGGGAGGCACTCGCAGGTCGAAGGAGAGAGAAGAGTCGAGCCCCGGGGGATTTGGGCCGGTTTCAATTTTTATTACTTCGAAAATGCAACTACGCTAACCCGACAGGCACCTAGCAGAGCAGAGAGAAAAGGTACATTCAACCAAGGTGTTCGGGTCTTTTGACATCTAGGAAGGCGAAGACTACTACGGTTTTAAGTTAGCCTGTCACTGCAGCTCTTTACGCACCAATCGAACTATAAATGAGGGCGACATTTTTGCAATAACAATAATAATAAAATGCTACTATTTGCTTCATTTTACTCCAAATAGCAAGGAGTTCCTGGTGAACTGCAGTGCCAGGCTAAAAATTAAATCATATATCAAATTTAAAAGACAGAGACAGAGTTCCAGTTGGACAAGAGTTGAAGGGGTCAAAGTAGAAGGGTTTGAAAACGATGAAAATTATCCAAGAGATAAATAATAATAATAATAATAATAATAATAATAATAATAAAATCCACCAAAAGAAAAAGAAAATCAGACTTGGGCCATGCCTTTAGGTTAGAGGTGAGTGAACTGCAAATAATATTAAAAAAACAAAGGAAAACCAAAACCAAGAGTGAAACATAAATGACTTGTATAGATGACAGAGGTGAATATCTAAAGGCCTCACAAACTATAATAATAATAATAATAATAATATCAGTGTGGCTAGTTGTGTAGGTGTCACATTATGATTTATGCCTTATTTTCTGCTGTATTTAAATTGTTACAATAAACACAAATATAGAAAAATACCTGAATAAAACATTTAGGTTTTGTGTCAAACGTGTTGTTTATGAAACACATTTGTCACAATTTCTTTAGGATGAATGGACGCTCATTATAAAGGCATGAAAACAAGAGCACGCACACACCCCTGGGACACACTCACCTAATTTGTATGTCTGACCAGTGCTGTGTGTGTGGTGATGTATCTGCTTTACATCCTCCCTGTCCTTTAACAAAGGCTTTTATAAAGGCTTTCAGTTATGGCTGTGCCTGAAGGCTTTGAAGACAAAATAAAGACACTCGAAGTATCATTTTGAAATACCAAAAACGAATATAAAGACCATTGTACTTTTCAGAAAACTTAATTTAAAAAAATCCTAATAGATCCTGATAATCAATAAACAAAAACTCATTTTTTATATCTCTGTATGAAAAATAAAATATATTTAAATACATTTTTACTGGTTGTCATGATCTGTTAAAAATAGTATTATGTTTATTATGTTTCTACAGGACTTTGCAGTCGATGCTTATACTGATAATTACAGCATATCAGAAAATAGTGTTGAAAAAAAAAGGTCAAATATGTTTCTTTTTTTAATTGTTGCAGCTGAAATTTGCATTTTTTTTTCCAGATTGTTCTTCTGTCAAAGACAGCACTTTTATATATGGGATGAACAAAACGCCTAATTTGCCTGCAGTGTAAATACGACAGACGTTCAACATTTTACTTCTATTTGGACTTTTCATTCTCATTCTGCTCCATCGTTGACCACCGAGCCTCCACATCGATCCTAAATGAATTCATACATACATTTACATAAATTTCACGGGTCGCAAGTCAATCCATTTATGGATCAAATTGCTATCCATCTATGTATCTTCGTTATAGTTCAATGAGAGAAGAAAAAAAGCAGCAGTAAATTATATATATATTCCTCATTTAACTGAATAGTTTCCTAAAGCACTAATGAATTCAGACCTGGAGTCAAAACACTACGTACTGTTTAAAAATTTAAATACGACTAAATTTGTACTTCAGAAAGTCGAGCAGTCGCTCTTCATTAATATCCAGGTACATTTTATAATGTGATGTAATTATTTTTTCGGCCAATTTCTACACTAACGGTGTAGCTATCTCTAAGCTATCTTTTACCTGGCTTTGCTATGCTTTGGCTAGAAGTAGCTAAAAAACGCTTTAAAACATTTTGACCTAATTAAATGTCCCATTGAATTGTATTTATATATTTATTTAGTTTTACTTTTCCCTTATGTTTCAGCGAACTACAGGTAACATTAACAGGGTTTTTATTTTTTTCAAATTTAGACTAATATTAACCAGTTGCCAAATTGTTTTTACATCATTTCTAAATTTAGTTTTTTGCTAAGTTATGACTGAATAACAGAACAGCCAGATTAACAGTTTTGTATTATTTTAAATGTTCTTCTTTTATAAATAGGGGGTCATGACTAATGTAAGTCATGTTTAAAACATAAACATAATTAGTGTCTGATATAGGTATTGTCAAATGATTACATTTAATTCTAAATTTATTCAGTGTTTTTGGAAAATTACACAAAAAAGTACATAAATCATTCCTTTTTAATTAAAACAACAGCCTTTCTACCTGGACCATATCTAGACTGTATTCTCCCACTTCTCCTCCCATACTCACCCTATTTATCACTGTCCACTTAAACTACATAAATAAAAATGACTATTTAAACCTGTAGTCCATTTGTATCGTGCAGTAAAGTGAACCAGAGGCGTACTCTGACTTGGAGTATTTTTGATGTCTAAAAGTTTTATATATATTCAGTTTAGACAAAAAAAGATCTGCGTGGCCTTGATATATCACCTTTTTATCTGTCATTCCATACAGTGTTCATTTCCATCTTTGTGGATGTGATAAAGCATCAAATGAACTCGATGTGACAGCAAACCAAGTGCTGGGACAGTGCAGTAGGTTCTGTGTACAAATGCAGTCGTTTTTGATGCTGTTAATGCTGAGCAGACCGAGGCATGAATACCAATCTGAAGCAGTTACCGATAGTGTAAAAAAGGGGAAAAATAAAGAAAAGAAATGTCTAATTTAAAGCCCATTTATAAACAGATAAAAAAAAGCTAGGAAACAAGACGCTTTCCTGAGATTAAAACGCATAATATTAGTACATAATGACGAGCCATTATGTCTAAAAGAGCTGCGATATACAGGAAAGACATTTTTTTTTTTTTACGTTATGTGTACACACTCTGCTGTGTTTTGAGTGCATGCAGCATCTGGCTTTCTTCAATGCCAGGCTCATTCAGCCATCTCTCTCAAGTTCAAATGTTCTGCAGCTGAAGTTTTCCTAATCATCTGAAAGCATGCGAGATGGGTATCGGCGCTCGGTCTGTTTGTGTGTGTGGGAATGGCAGAGCGGGCAGGCAGGAAGGGAAGGAGGGATTTTGGACTACTTACGTTAACCTCAGTGATTGCTATGTCAACAATGCTACCCACAACTATCAAGGCATCAAATGTGTTCCATGCATCAACAAAATAATGCTGCGTAGGGTAGAGGTGGCCCGGGACAGAACAGAAAAGAGGAGAAAAAGAAAAGAAAAACAACAGAAACACAACATAAGACATTTAAAAAATGATGAGAAGGACAACAGAAGTCAAAGGGAGAGAAGAAAAAAAAGATAAAAACATTATATTCATGAGCACTGGAGTTTTTTTTTTTAGTAGGAGGAGGAAAAAAAAGAATAAATAAATACAAACTGCAAAAGAAAAGAAGTTGCAGCCTGGAAGAGGTGAAGAGCCGAGGAAGAGCAGCAGCGACTGGTCATGCTTTGTCCATGAGAGGAAATGTCAACACCACCGTCGTCAACGAGAACAAGAGGAGAACAAATTGCAACAAAATACTAAAGCCTGGAAAATGGTTCCGTACTGCAGTTGAAACAATGAAAAGGTGGAGGTTTGAGATTAGTTCAGTTAGTGAGGGAACCAAACCTGAGGACATGTCACGGCCTGATGAACAGAAAACAAATAATAAAACCCAACAACATTTGAAAGACGGTTCGGGGTCACAGGGGTCAACGCAAAGAACAGTAATCGAAACCAAACACTGCGACTCCTGCCTACACTTTTTAAGGAACCCTGGAAGAACCTTCAGCATCACGAGGACGTCCCTAAGTGGCAGCGGCCATCTTGGATTTAGAAATGAAGAAAGAGAAAAAGGGAAGAGAGTAGAAGGAGGAGGAGGAAAGACTGACAAAACATAGGAGAGCAAAACAAGAGAGAGAGAGATAGAGACAGACTGGAGAGAGAGAGACAAGGTGACTGAAGGTGGGCTTCGTACTTACGTTGATCTCACTGAGAATGACGTCTATTATGCTGCCAATTACGATGAGGAAATCAAACACATTCCAGGGATCACTAAAGTAACCCTACACAGAATGAGGTGAGGAGGAGACGGAGGAGGAGGAGGAGGAGGAGGAGGGGGGGGTGAGGAAACGCAGGTTAGAAAGAAAAACAACATCTGCTGCCACCTCGCAGCCATATTAAGACGGTATTAAGAGCTTTCACAGTACATGGAGGAAGAAGGTTAAAAATTAAAGACACATTCCAAATTGTTTTTATACATTTTAAACAAATACTTTTCCCACATATTTTCTGATTTTTAACAGATTGTTTTTCTCTAAGATAATTATTTATTATATTTTCTTGGTGCTTCTTTACCAGTGATTATGAAATGTCTCTGTTTACCTAGCTTGTAGCAAATACTGTAATAGCATTAATTCATTAAAAAACATATATAAAGCCACGGGCCATATATTTACATAATATAAAACAAGAACTAATTGGTACTGGTACTAATGTGAACTGTGATTTGATTGTACAGAGGTTTTAAAGTGAGTTTTTGGGTCACATGCGGACGGCTAACGTAGCACATGTGCGCTAACTAACAGTCCAACTTAATTAAAAGATCCTTTATTCCTGGACAGACTGGAGTAAAGAAAACATATTTCCTTTAGTCCAGTCTGTCCAGGCCGGACCTGTAGATCACTTGAGGTGGAGACCCCTGCTGGACAGCCTTTCACAAAAGACCTCTGCACAAACAAAGCCCAATCATATGCAGTGGATTGTTGAATTGAAAGATAAGGAGGGGAGCTGAGAGCAGATCAACGTTACTCCTCTATTTTAAGCTTCCTCATCTGTCATCAGCAGCTGAGCTGTCATCACGTACCCTCTCTGCACCCACTGGCTCCATGGAAATATTTTACAAGTATCCACCAGAGATGGCGCTGTTTTCAAGATTGTTAATTTGAAAGCTGTTACTTATTAGTGAATAAATTGCAGATGTATGGGGGTGGGGGGGGGGGGGGTGGGTAAAGCATTAAACCGAGCACAAAAAAAA